CACTCATCTCCACTACAAATAGGAAAAAGAGGCTACAATTTGCAAGAGCTCACCAAAATTGGACAGTTGAAGACTGGAAAAATGTTGCCTGGTCTGATGAGTCTCGATTTCTGTTGAGACATTCAGATGGTAGAGTCAGAATTTGGCGTAAAACAGAATGAGAACATGGATCCATCATGCCTTGTTACCACTGTGCAGGCTGGCGGTGGTGGTGTAATGGTGTGGGGGATGTTTTGGCACACTTTAGGCCCCTTAGTGTCAATTGGGCATCGTTTAAATGCCACGGCCTACCTGAGCATTGTTTCTGACCATGTCCATCCCTCTGATGGCTACTTGCAGCAGGATAATGCACCATGTCACAAAGCTTGAATCATTTCAAATTGGTTTCTTGAACATGACAATGAGTTCACTGTACTAAAATGGCCCCCACAGTCACCAGATCTCAACCCAATAGAGCATCTTTGGGATGTGGTGGAACGGGAGCTTCGTGCCCTGGATGTGCATCCCACAAATCTCCATCAACTGCAAGATGCTATCCTATCAATATGGGCCAACATTTCTAAAGAATGCTTTCAGCACCTTGTTGAATCAATGCCACGTAGAATTAAGGCAGTTCTGAAGGCGAAAGGGGGTCAAACACAGTATTAGTATGGTGTTCCTAATAATCCTTTAGGTGAGTGTAATACAAATTTAATTTCACTCTAACCTATCACTTGAAGAAAACCCTTCTTAAATGTTCTCGCGTTGGGCCGTTTAGGGAAGCTAAATTTAGCAGATAAAGAAAAAACGTAAATCTTCATTATGAGTCCTAATCATAAATACTGTGCATGTTCACAAAAACAGTTTAAATAAATATAATAATGATTTAAACTAAGTTTTACATCTGATGTACACATTTAGATTAAATATGCCATTCTCATTAATGGAGTTAAGCACTTATATTACATGAAATCACTGCTTAGACGTTACAACATTTTAATATTCTAATAAATAGAAATATTTGTTGTGCATGCAAAGCTTTTGAACACTTTTCCTGTGGCATGCTGTGTTTTAATGTTTAACTACAGCGAGGGTTGCTTACCATGATAATAGCAGATTGTCTGAGAAAATATTTCCACGCAAATTATGCACAATAAGGCCTATCTTTTACCATTAAAAATATAAATCACTTAAAAACACTATTGGTCCAGTGGAAAAGATTGAGAAAAACTTTCTCTGAAATGTATTTTAAACTATTTTATTTATTTATTCAAAAACAAGACAAGGATAGGCTACTAAATTATTTTTTAGCAATTTAATGTGACTGCACGTCCGTATCTCATATTTTACTAATGTCTTGTACCGTTAAACATGGTAAACATACCGTTCATGCATAGTAAAACATAGGCGTTGTAAGCTCCATATACATGTATGGTTATTCGGGGTGGAGACGGATGTGCGCACAATCTTCCGCAGACTGGGATTTATAAAGGGAATTTTGCACAGGTTCTGGCATAATGGTTTTATAAGTCTGAATGGTTTTATACGTCTGAATATTTTTTGGCATACGCCATTTTTGGCATTCAGGCGCACGTACACTTAAGGATCCAACGCCCAGTTTTATAAATGAGACCCCTGCACTCGAGGCCAGTCAAGTTCCTCAACACCAAACTCGCTCATCATGGACCTTGCTTTGTGCACTGGTGCGCAGTCATGTTAGAACAGGAACATCCCCAAACTGTACCCACAAAGTTGGGAGCATAAAATTGTCCAAAATGTCTTGGTATGCTGAAGCATTAAGAGTTCCTTTCACTGGAACTAAAGGGATAAGCCCAACAACCCCTGAAAAACAACCCCACACCATAATCCCCCCTCCACCAAACTTTACACTTGGCACAATGCAGTCATACCGTTCTCCTGGCAACCGCCATACCCAGACTCGTCCATCGGATTGCCAGACAGAGAAGCGTGATTCGTCACTCCAGAGAACACGTCTCCACTGCTCCAGAGTCCAGTGGCGGCGTGTTTTACACCACTGCATCCGACGCTTTGCATTGATCTTGGTGATGTAAGGCTTGGATGCAGCTGCTCGGCCATGGAAACCCATTCCATGAATCTCTACACACTGTTATTGAGCTAATCTGAAGGCCACGTGAAGTTTGGAGGTCTGTAGCTACTGACTGCAGAAAGTTGGTGATATCTGCGCTCCCACTGACCCCGCTCTGTGATTTTACGTGGCCTACCACTTTGTGGCTAAGTGTCTGTTGTTCCCAATTGCTTACACTTGGTTATAAAACCACTAACAGTTGACCGTGGAATATTAGTAGTGAGGAAATTTCACGAATCAACATGACATCATGACTTTGTGTAAACATACACGCCACTTTCAAGTCAAGTGGCGTGTTATCTATACGCATTTTGAGCTATCCGCGTGTATGTCCACGCCGAAACGAACCGTCATCTTTTGCGTGTATGTCTACGCCGTTAAATGTCCGTGTGATTCCGCGTGTGTGTCTACGCCGTTGAATGTCCGAGCGAAATGAAGCAAAGTGTATATTTACATCTGTGGAGCAATATTTTTTTTCCTAGGATGGTAGGGGAAGACTCATAAATGGTATTAACCCCAGTGACGGGTAGGTTTAGGGACGGGGTTGGGGTAGGTCATATATTTATATATACAGTAATGTAACAAGTCAACGGCGATGATAAACATGCTGAAAAGCGATTATGCGTGTTGATGGCACGCCAAAAATGGAAATACGAATTGGCGTGTCATACATATGCCATTTCATGAGATCAGTCTGCACGAATGGACTTATTGCACAGGTGGCAACCTATCACGGTACCACGCTTGAATTCACTGAGCTCCTGAGAGTGACCCATTCTTTCCCGAATGTTTGTAGAAGCAGTCTGCATGCCTAGGTGCTTGATTTTATACAACTGTGGCCATGGAAGTGATTGGAACACCTGAATTCAATGATTAGAGGGGTGTCCCAATACTTTTGGCAATATAGTGTATTTCCATTTTAAACCACGAAGGCGAGTCAGTGGATATCACACAAGCAATGTGCAAACTTTGCTCTAGAGTTATGACGGTGAAGAAGTCTCATAAGTAGTGAAAAAATTAGAAGAGAAGTATTTAATGTTAAACAAGTTTTTTTTTTAAATGAGGAGTAAGCTAATGTAACCAATCTTTTATTTTTCTTGCAGCGTGTCGGTTACGGGGTGATGTGCTGCAAATGCACGGTGATGTAAAATTATTGTGGTGCAAATGAATTGTAATATTATTTTAATGATAAAAGTATTAGTAGTTTTAATAATAATTTAATACATTAATTGGAAATGCCAAATCCTCTTGATAAGGCCGATAACTGATGCTTTTGACGATATCCCTGGAAATCTTCAATATACGATATCATTGTTTATCGACGTGGCACAGACACTGACAGTGCGTGCCCATCCACTATGCCACTGATTCTCAACAATGTTATGAAAGATATAATTTGATACACTATTTTACTTTATGTAGTAATACGTGTATGTAAAATTGCCATAAATGGGTAGTCCTGTGCTATACAGTGCATCTAATTTGCATATGAATGTATTCTTGTGGCAACATGTGATGAAAGGAATTTGGCAACATTTTCATCAGAATATCTCCTATATTTGACAAATTATGAGAAATCGCCTCTCTTAACTATATAAAAACATCTGGTGCCGTTTTATTCAAAATAATAAGTTGTTAATACTTAAGCAATGCAGAACAACAATACACCCCTTGAATTAATGTAAAAAAAACTAAAAACAAGTTGTTTGAAATAGACTACTGTTTCCACTTTTACACAAATGCCTCATATGCACAATTAATGAAAATAATTTAACTCCACAAAACACATCCCTTCCTAAATGTTTTTATGGCAACACACTAGTTTTCCAAAATATTATTTTGACCGTCCCCAAAGGTTCCCCTTGTCAAACAATCAAAATGTTATCACATTTTCCAGCTTTTGATTAATCTGAATGGCAAATTATTTACTTGTAAGTGTATTATTTGTCAGTGATGGATCTGAACATGGACTTTTAGACACCTTCGGACAATGTTTTTTTGTATGGTTCCGTTGAAGAGCTGGTAAGCGGAAACTCTTTCCACAGTGTGAGCACTTGTACGGTTTCTCACCAGTGTGAATTCTCTGGTGATTATGTAAGGTACTGGATGTAATAAAGCTCTTCCCACAGTCAACACACACATATGGTCTCACTCCAGTGTGAATGCGTTCATGCACTTTTAAATACTGTTTAAATGAAAAACTCTTTCCACAAAAAGAACAAAAGTGAGGCTTTAAACCAGTGTGAATTATAAGGTGTGCTCTTAAGCCTGATGCCAAAACATATGTTTTATCATACTGATCACAGCTGAATGATTTCAATCCAGAGTGAGAGCGCAGATGAAAGTTGAGATTTCTTTTGGATATGAAACTCTTTCCACACTGAAAGCATGTGAATGGTTTTTCTCCAGTGTGAATTTTCATGTGATCATTTAGGAGTCCTTTATGTCTGTAACTCTTTCCACACTGAGTGCATGTGAACGGTTTTTCTCCAGTGTGAATTCTCATGTGTCCGCTAAAGTCTGATTTACATATGAAACTCTTTCCACACTCAGAGCAGGTGAAAGATCCTTTGACTCCAGATTTTCCAGCTTGTTTCTGTGTTAAATTCTCTTCAGTCTTTGAAAAAACTGCATTTCCATCTTCATTTGTGAAATGATGAGGTTTCTCTTCATTCACTTCCATTGGGTCTAAAATCAATATATTACATTCAATTAAAAAAGGACAAATGAGAAACAAAAAAATTAATTCTTAATTTACCACAAATCCAGTTTACAACTTAGTCTACTAGTATCTGGTTTTAGATATTATTGTTATATGTCAGTTTTCATCTTAATGTTCCTCATCAGTCATTAAAGAGAATAAAGGAAAACACCAACCTATTTGTTCCTCTGTATCTTCATCTTTATTCTGCAGGGTTCTTCCTTAAATTCCTGGGTGAAAGATCCTTTAAGTTCAGTGTTTTGGGTTTGCCTGTGTGTGATTTCTTCTCCATCTGTGAAAATGAGGTTTTTGACACAGATGGGGTTTGTCTTCATTCACTTCCATCAAGTCTAAAATATTTACATAGAATAAAAGAGGAGCATTTAAAAAAAAATATATATATATATATATATAGCTTAACTAGTTCGTTTAAAAAAAAAGATATGGTTATATGTCAGTTTTCATCTTAATATTCCTCATAGGGGTGTGCACGAATATTCAAATTATCGATCTGTAATTACTTCGATGAAAATGATTGAATTAAATGATCTTACAAAATGGAATTACTTTTGATCAAATTAATTTATAAATCGGAGTTATAATATTATTTATCACCACAATGAGAAATCACAAAACCAAACACCAGTTGGATGAGGAAAGACAGCTGTCCATCACTGCATTCACGACTGCAGGCAAGCAGTTTTACTCCGTGGGATCGAGATGATAACTTGTCTGATAGCATAATGATTTGGAGACACGTGCTTCCTTTAAGTTTCATTGAGGGAGACAGGTTTAAGAACAGAAAAAGCAAAGTGCTGTTAGTAACTTCACTTAGCACACCTTTATCTGTCTCTGAAACGTCAGTCAGCGGCAGCGCGTTTTCTCACTCGAGCATGTGGATATTATTGTTGTTCTCAACATGAAACAATAGAAACACGATAACCATATGCTGACTGAGTCAAGTGTATATGTACGTTCTGTACGATAATTGACCCTTCGCTAAGCCCCGCCCTCCTTAGTTACTGTTGCTACGCCTGTCAAGCTTTCTCGGCTGCCACGTCTATTACAGTGTGAATGCACCGGTGTCAGACATTCCCAAGGAGATATTTAGTCATTTTTTGCAAACAGGTGAAATATCTGAGAGATCAAGACAAAAGGGACTGCAGTATGCATTCGAGGGATATATCCACGACATAATATGCTACCGATTAGAGAATAAATTCATCAAAATTGAAGCTAAAGCCTATACCGTTAGGTCCCAGCGCAAGCAGCAGCCGCCTCCTTAGCAGACCATTCACATGGGAAACACACAAATTGAGGAACAGCTGTGTTCATGCACAGCAGAGTAAGTGAAATGTGAAAATAATCTAATAATTACAAATCAAACAGTTTATCCATCAATCTAACACCGGGAGAGCCGCGGTCGGATTGGGGTAAAGTTACAGGGGTAACGTTAGTAGGCCGTCGATTAACAAAATGCTGAAACATATTTTAAAGTATGTCAGTGAGCCTCTGTCTTGCCTTTAATCGTCTTATTTTACGTTCAAATATGCATTATGAACAAAGAACCGCCATTATTTCCAACTATAGGCGTTTTTTTTTTTGTTAATCCTGTCGACATTTAGTTGTGAGTGGGTCTCCCACACTGCTTGATCCACGCCCGTGATTTCTCCCCTTTGGCTTTTAGGTTTCGGGAAGAGAAAAAATGCCACCCCACCGTTCAAACTTTTAGGATACCGGGTATCAGATTTGCACAATCCATACGCACAACGCGTCGGCATGTTTCCCTCGCTCGAAAGCTTGACAGACCTCCCGCGCCTAGTTACGGTTGCTAAGCCACGATTGGCCAGTGGCGGTTTTCGGGCGTGGCTTAGCGAAGGGTCAATTGGCTCGGTCTGCTTTATTAGCACTTTTTACGTTCGCGCTGCTTGAACTTAAATGCTTTTGTTCTTTATATTTTTTGTGTACAAATTGTTTAATGTTTTCATCTAAAAGAAAACCTTAAGATATATTGTAAGCTTGTTGTGTATATTGCCTAATCGTGAGCTTAAAGGGTTAGTTCACCCAAAAATGAAAATTCTGTCAGTAATTACTCACCCTTATGTTGTTCCAACCCCGTAAGACCTTCGCTCATCTTCGGAACACGAATTAAGATATTTTTGAGTGACTACAGTGGCTCAATCTTAAGTTTATCAAGCGACGAGAATACTTTTTGTGCGCAAAAACAAAACAAAAATAACGACTTTATTTCAACTATTCATTTCCTTCTCTGTGGGCCTCGAGTCAGTTCACTAGTGTAATAGCGTAAGCTTCTGTTGTTGTACGTCACACGCATCACGCACAAGACCAGCGTCGGCCAATAGTGAGCCTACGTGTGACGTAGCTCTACGCAATCTCACTACGTTAACTGACTAGAGGCCCAAAGAGAAGGAAATGAATAGTTGAAATGAAGTCGTTATTTTTGTTTGTTTTTGCGCACAAAAAGTATTCTCTTTGCTTGATAAACTTAAGATTGAGCCACTGTAGTCACTTGGACTATTTTAACGATGTCTTTAATAACTTTTCGTGGCCGGCAAGTTCAATCCCTGAAGAAGCCTATGGACTAGTATGGAGGAGTGATCCAGCTCTCAGATTTCATCAAAAATATCTTAATTCGTGTTCAGAAGATGAACGAAGGTCTTACGGGGTTGGAACAACATGAGTGTGAGTAATTACTGACAGAATTTTCATTTTTGGGTGAACTAACCCTTTAAGAAATGGTGACAAAAACTAAAAAAAAAAAAACTTAAAAAATAACATCTTTCAAGATAAACGTCATTTAAATAAACGAATATTCGATTTTTATGAGCCCGAATATTCAAATGCGATATTTTTGAAAAATGCCCATCCCTTCCTCATCAATATTTAAAGAGAATGAAGGAAAACACCAACCTATTTGTTTCTCTGTATCTTCATCTTTTATTCTGCAGGGTTCTTCCTTAATCTCCATCTTTACAATAGTATGTCCGTAGTTTCTCCTGGAGTAATTCCTCCTGCTTGCTTCTTCTTCTCCTGTGGGAAGATGGGAATATTCCCCAGCATTTAAACTCTCATGAACGGCTGTGGGAGCTTCACTGACTGAAGGAGTGAATTGTGGTCATTGTTGCTCATTTAGCAGATGATCATCACACTTACAATCACTCGAGATCATTCAGGTGTAAATGTTTTGCTCAAATAGTCGTTTAGAATGATTACTGAATTTACACTTTGGGCTCAATATCAAGCCTCATTTTGACTTTTTTTTCATGTGCCATGCATTGTATTTTTTATTTCTTCTTTTTATCGGGGCCTTCGTTTTGTCCTCTTTCTGTAAATATTGTATATACATAATGTTCCCTTTATTACTGAAGCGGTATTGGTCTTGTGTGCTTTTTTCTTCTGATCTTTTCTCCTGTGTTTGGTATAGCCAGGGAGACCACTGTATTTTATTTTATTTTCTTAAGGAGTTTGTTTAAGTGGGTTTAGTCAGTTTTTTTTTTTTTTTTATTGTTTTGGCCTAGCCCTACCCTGAAGACTTTGCTTCATTTTTTCACTCGAGATTATCCAGCATTAAACGTATGGTAGGTAATTTTCAGAGAGGCTAGCAATAGTGAGCTAGCTTTGAAAGCATAACGGTGCATTCACACGAGGCGTCGACGTTAACGCTTCTCATTTACTTTGAATGGGTGACGTCACATAAAAACAAAAAAGAGCCGGCTGTTAGACTACTGTGCAGTACTGTTCCTTCTTTATGATATTTTAGTCTTTATCTTCTAAAAAGTGGTGTTATTATCAATATGGGCCAACATTTCTAAAGAATGCTTTCAGCACCTTGTTGAATCAATGCCACGTAGAATTAAGGCAGTTCTGAAGGTGAAAGGGGGTCAAACACAGTATTAGTATGGTGTTCCTAATATTCCTTTAGGTGAGTGTATATGTTGCCCCCTCATTTAAAGACGGGACCCCCCAAAAATAAAATTCTGGCTACGCCCCTGGTTTATTGTCGCAGCTCTTTACAATAGCCTACAGCGAACACCCATGATTGTAAACTATGCTTTTACTATCTAGTAATTGCTGACTATTACTCCAACTCTGAACGAACTCTCTGCTCCTCATCACGGTGCATCTCATGTGCTGCGGTAATCACTCTGCCCAAGTAGCAGTGCTTCGCCTTCTGAGAATATAGTTCCCAGTATTTATACGGTTAAAAGATGACTGTGTCTCATATGACCTTGTTATTTGTACACTCTGTGACTATACAAATCACAACATGTAAATAGGAAAATGTTGGTGTTATTTTGTCACTTATTGGGATTAGTATGCTAGCTGGAGCCATTTACATCCAGTCTTTGTGCTAAGCTAAGCTAGCGGTGTGTGCGTCAGATAGAGTTACGGCACGCACGGAGACTCTGGGGGATACAGTGAATAAGCTAAAGTCCCAAAAAGTCGGCGAGTTCCTTTAACTAACCTTTTCTAATGATTAGCATTAGAAAAGGTTAATTAATTATACCTATTTAGGTTTTGCTAATTTAGTTCATAACCTTAAAGGGGTCATGAACTGGCTTTTTACAAAAAAATTATATTGTTGTCTGAGGCAAACTTATTGTTAAACAGAGCTTGACTAGATATCGGCTAAAGACAGAGAATAAACATGCTTCACACAGGTTGCAGTGAGAACACAGTCAATCGTTTATTGGTACAGGTGCAGTTTAAATAGAACATCACATAGCATGGACACATGACAAACAGACCTGAGAGGAATCCACAATAATTGGGAGCATTCTCAGGAATCCACAATAATTTCGGAGCATACTCATTAACCAATCAATCAATTAACACCCCCACTTGCTCACACGTTATTCACAATCATTCACATTCAAACAAAAACAAAAACAATAAAACATCATGAAAACCAACTGAATTACATCTTGGCTATAACCCAAAGAGGAACGTGGAAAAGGTAAGTAGCTTTAATGTTGTAGCTGGTTTAGTCAATAGGTCAGCAACCATCTGATCTGTTGGGCAATACTCCAAAAAACACTTCACCATTGTTTACAGTTGATCTCACAAAATGGTATTTAATATCAATATGCTTACATCTCTGTCTGCTAACAGGATTCTTTGCCAATGCAATTGTACCTTGGTTGTCTTCATAGATCATAGGTACACCATACTGATAATCATCAAGATGTTCAAGCAATTGTGTCAAGTACAAACACTCTTGTATAGTGGCAGCCAATGCCATGTACTCAGCCACACATGTTGATAATGCTACAGTTGGCTGCTTTTTGGTCTTCCAAGAAATCAGAGGGCCATTCTTACATAGGCTAACACAATAACCAGATGTACTACGTCGGTCATTTGCATCACCTGCCCAATCTGCATCACTGTAAGTCACCAACTTTAACCCATCATCACATTTCCTGTAACAGAGCATCTTGTCATGTGTACCTTTCAGATATTTCAGTACATGCTTTACAGTTGTCCACTGCTCTTCTGTTGGCTCACTGAAATACTGTGACAATTTGCTAACAACATAACTCAGATCAGGTCTAGTGCATGAGGTTAGGTATATTAGGCTACCCACTGCCTCTCTGTATTTCCTGGGGTCACTCAGCTTTTCATCACAATCGGTGTAATTCAACTTTGGTTCACAAGGTGTCGACCTGGGTATACAATCTTGCATGTCAAACCTTTCCAGCAGTTTGCCAACATAACTCTGCTGTGACATAGTCACACCCCCATCACACTGATCAAAAGTGATACCTAGAAAATTCTTCAGTCTTCCCAAATCTTTCATCTGGAATTTCCCAGTATCTCTGACAGTTTTAAAGCTCTCTCATCACTGGCAGCAATAACCAAGTCATCAACCCATATACATATTATCACTTTCTCATGTTCTGTTTCTCTCTTGTAAACACAATGATCAGCTGGGTTTTGTACAAAGATGTTTTCACACAAATAGTCATGTAACATTTTGTTCCAGTTTCGACCTGATTGCTTTAGCCCATACAATGATTTCTCCAGTTTACACACCATTTTCTCATTTGTCTGAGATTTTACATCATACCCCTCTGGCTGTTCCATGTAAATTTCATAATCAATCGGTGCATGTAGGTAGGCAGTTTTAACATCCATCTGACAGAGGATCAGATTCTCCTCCTGAGCAGCTTTCTGCATTAACACTCTCACACTGGTAAGGTTGGCAGTAGGAGTAAAGGTTTCTCCATAATCTACACCCATCTCCTGACTATACCCCCTGGCGACATAGCAGGCCTTATACTTGTCAGATCCATCAGCATTGCTTTTGATAGCATACACCCATCTACCCCCCACTGCTTTCTTGCTCTCAGGTAGGGTGGTCAAAGTAAATGTGGTGTTATCCCTCAGTGATTTCATCTCCTCATCCATTGCATCTACCCACTCTCTTGAGTTGGATGAAGTCACAGCTTCTCTGAAAGTCTGAGGTACATTGGAAACCATCTTTTAGCAATAATCAATGCTGATCTGCACCTGATCACTCTCCACCCCATAGAAATCTGGCCTCCTTCTCTCTCTACCAGGATATCTCCTCTCTCTACTCAGGGTATCTGGAGAATACGATTCTGGCTTGACCTCAGCTGATTGTAGACTTATCTGGCTTGGGCCTAGCCTAGTCTCTGGAATGTCACACTGTTTGGGTTTGTCAGGGTCAGGTCTGGTTGTTCTATACCGCACACCAACGTCATCGTCATCAGACACGTCATCAGTCTCCTGTCCCTCAATATTGGGCATAAACCTCACCAGTCTGTGTTTCATCACCTTTCTACTGTCAGGATAGTAGACCATATAGGCTGGGCTGTTCTTATCATACCCAACGAAAATGCCTTTGTCAGACCTTGAGTCTAGCTTCTTCCTGTCCTGTCTATAAGTATAACACACAGTACCACACTTCTGCATCCTGGACATATTGGGTTTCCTTCCTGTTAGCATAAAGTAAGGTGTCTGTTTGGTGCGGTTGTTGAAACATCTATTCCTCACCACTAGGGGTGTAACGGTACACAAAAATCACGGTTCGGTACGTACCTCGGTTTTAAAGTCACGGTTCGGTACGTTTTCGATACAGCAAAAAGAAAGAAATGCCAGAGAAATTTCTAATTTGTTAAAAGAAAAAATATTTTTAAATAACTGAGTTTTCCTACATCTTGAAACTTTCAGGTTTATAAATGGGGGTCATCTTTGAAGGATGAACAAATAATGTTTTGGTCATCACATTAAAAATAACATTTAAATATATATATATTTATTTATATATTATTTGAGTTTTGAAGAGCTGGAAAAAGATGTGTGAAGTACTTGAAAGCAGTTCACTATTCCAGCCAAACTGGTTACAGTTAGTGTTAGCCTACTATATTAAATCCATGGTGAATGTTGCTGGTCTGTGGACGTAAAGTATTACTAGTTCATTCACGGCACAATGTTTCTCCTGGTTTCCACGTCAGCGCTGTTTGATCTAATAGAGATCTACGGTTAATAACGGAGAAATGTGAATGCTTCTCACTAGATCTCGCAGCAATGTTATTACTTCAGTGGCGAATTCAAATGTTTTCTTTACTGGATCTCTTAGCGCTGTGTTGTAACAGTGTCGCTTGATCGAGATCGGCTCGCGCTGCACAGATGTTGCTGGTCAAACGATCCGTGAAGCACAATATAATGAGTAGCGCAGTTTCGTTCCGCTTTCATTACGTTTGCCATTTGATGTTGCGCAATGTTGTGGTGATCGCGCCAGCGCGAATTTTGTCGGCAAGAAAAATGGTCCAAGGAATCGTTCGGTTTGTATGCGTACCGAACCGGAAGCCTCGAACCGAAACGGTTCAATACAAATACATGTACCGTTACACCCCTACTCACCACCGCTGCTGTCTGGACTGCTTACGGCCATAGCTCGTGGGGTAACTGACTTTCTAAGAGCATACATCTAGCATACAAAAGCATACAAAAAGGGTTCTCCAGTTGCGCTCAGCAGTGCCATTCTGGTGTGGTGAGTATGGTGCTGATGTCTCATGTCTGATTCGGTTCTTGCGAAGTAGTACTTGATAACCCTGACCAGTAAACTCAGCACCATTATCAGACCTGATACATGTAACATTCCCATATGGGGCTGTGTCAGCTAGGAACCTCTCTGTGGTGTCCACTGTGTCACTTTTGTGCTTCAGAAAGTAAACAAACACTGCACTTGAGTGGTCATCAGTAAAGGAAAGTGTGTACCTATACCCTTCTCCTGACTTTGGGTCAATGGGGCCTGCCAAGTCAGTATGTATCAACTCTAGAGCTGACTTGGCTCTCACATCAGGCTTTCTGTTCCTACTCTGAGTGAATTTACCTTGGACACACACATCACATTGCATAGATTTGGGTACTTTACCCTTGATTGACATACCATCCACAACATTCTCTAACTTCTGAACATCATTAAAATTGCAGTGTCCCAAAATCTCATGCCACTTCTGAATATCATGGCAACTCATACATTGATCAACACAGTCATTGTTCACTGGCACAGTAGGCAAATAGAACAGCCTGTTATGTTCATGAATAAGAAAACGTGTACCGTCTTTATACTGCAGGATGTCTTCACCCTCCTTAAAGATCACTGTTGCCCCGCTGGAAGTTGCAGCTCTCACGGAGAAGATGTCTTTGGGATAGGAGGGGATGTACAGTGCCTGCTTCAGTGTGGCACTGAGGTGCCGCCCCCTGCTATCGACAAGACACACCTCTGCTTCTCCTCTACGCTCCTCGACCCCCTTGCACCTTGTGCCATCGGCCAGCTCCACGCAGTGCGTCTCGGCCTGGAATCGGTCGTCGAAGCTCTTAAACCTGGCCAGGTCGGTGATGATATGCGATGTCGCACCGGTGTCCACCATCAACCCCTTTCTGGTGACACCGCTCCCTGGCTGATGATCACTGGTAACCAACTTGAAGGCAAAAGTGTTGTCTGTCTCCTCGTACACCCCATGTGCGTCGTCTGTCTCCTCGTACACCCGATGTGCGTTGTCTTGCCGTTGCTGTTTCCATCCTCCTCGCCATGTGATACGCTTACCCTGGCTGTACCACTGTTGATCACTGTGACGGCCCGAGTGGTGGCCGCACAAGAGTGGTAATGTGGACGTATCAACATGCGCACACACGCACACACACATCCATTTACACGTAGGACATGCATTTAAGAATAATCCTTATTTAAACTACTTTCTTTTGTAATTCACATTTATTTGTTTCAGTATAATGATAGTTCATAATAACCACAAGACAAACAGTATTCATTAATTCTTTATTGCTAGGTTTGCATATGTTTATATTTACAACACATTTTTATATACATTGTTGCTGATTTGAAGTGCACACAAATTAGTTGCGTTGTATCTGCTATTTATATTTGTTTCTATTTTGAGTTTAAGTTTACCGGTGATGAACTTCAGACATGGTCCGCTGCAGCCGCATCCTGGTGTGACGGAAATTAGAGTCCAGGCAGGAACAGAGAATTTAAGTGTTATTGGTTCCGCCCGGACATACCATTCGCTGGGAGTTGCCCGGGGGAGGAAGAAATGTGATTGTCTTTATAAATTGATTACTTTAGTTGTACATTTATGGTATTGATTACATTTTGCTTTCCTTATCTTTATTTACTATATATCTTCATTTGACTTGATTTTGATTTACTTAAGGTTGTATGTTGAATGTGTAGTTAAATTGTTTTCCCTCTTAATTTGTAATGGGCCCATCCTTTCCTTTAAAAGCTGTTGCTTTGTTCATTTGAGCAGGTCAGTTTTTTAGTTTGTTTGTTTGGTTTTTGTCTGACTGATTCTTTGTCTTATTTTCTGTTTGTTTATTTGTTTTTGTTGTAAGAAGTTTATGAGTTTGTAAAATTTTTTTTTTTTTTGGGTTCAAATAAAGACCCATTTTTTGTCCAAAGCTTGTGTTCCTTGTTCCTGACCTCTCGGTCCCTCACAATCACGCTGACACTGTCTTGCCTTGTGTCCTCTCTGGCCACAACGGAAACACTCAATGTCCCCGCTCTCAGTGCTCCGCACCCTTACACCTGCCGGGGCACTGGCCTTCCTTAAATGCGCCCGAGCTCCCATGACATTGCCTTCGGCCACAGCTGTGCGCATACCTTCGGTGCTCTCGTAACTCCGCAACTTTGTCTTAAAATCTGCAAAAGAGAGAGTCTCATCCCTTTGAGTGACAAAAATGGAAAAAGGCTTAAATGATTCTGGCAGCCCCTTCAAAACCATTGCAACCAATAGTCCATCACTCAATACTTCTCCAGCATTCCTCAGCACTGTGATTGAGGTCTCGGCACGTATGACATGGTCAGTCACACTCTCACCACTCAGCTTTTGCAGGGAAGTCCATTCTGTGTAGAGACTCACAATGCGGGGCTTACCCTTTCCAGCATAATAGTCCCACAAGATCTTGAGTGCTCCACGCCTGTCATCCGCAGCCTCTCGCATGACCAGGGACAAACTTTTGTCATCAAGGAATTGGATCAGTTCAGCATATGCTTCAGCGTTCTTTGCTGCATCCTCAGCCAGTGTGTCTCCATCCGCACCCACGGCAGGCCCATTCAAAATTGTATCCTTCAATTTCTGCAACCGTAGATGACCCAAAAACTTTGTCTCCCACAGTTCATAGTTCTTTTCGTCTCCGTCAAACACAAGACGAGACCAACGTGAACTTATCCTTTCACTCATGGTGCTGGCACTCTACTCACTCTTTGTCCGACAATGGCATAGGCTGTCCAGTCCACTTTTAGACACGCACTTGCGAACTTCCCTAAGCACTTCCCCCTCGGGGGAATCCCTGCCGCCATTTTGAAGTGCGTTCCACTTCGTGAAGTGGACAAGGGAAGTTTATATGGACAGACACTTGTTCCCTCGATTTTGTCCGAGGGAGCGAGTCTACTTCATATGTACACTTCAGGCAGCTCCATATACCACAATGCAACACGATTGTGACGTCACCGCAGATCTCGTCTAATCACCACCACCACAAACAACTCTGATATATTAATCATATATATATTTAATTAAAAAAAAAAAAAAAAAAACACACCTATATACATTTGGATGCTGCATTAAACAAATTCTTAAAGAAAAAAAAAATTAAATAATAAATCAACTCCATGGCTGATTCCAAGTGATCAAGGGCTTAGGACGTTCCAATTCAGCCAATTGACCCTTCGCTAAGCCATGCCCGAAAACCGCCACTGGCCAATCGTGGCTTAGCAACCGTAACTAGGCGCGGGAGGTCTGACAAGCTTTCGAGCGAGGGAAACATGCCGAAGCGTTGTGCGTATGGATTGTGCAAATCTGATACCCGGTATCCTAAAAGTTTGAACGGTGGGGTGGCATTTTTTCCCTACCCGAAACCTAAAAGCCAAAAGGGGAGAAATGCCGGGCGTGGATCAAGCAGTGTGGAGACCCATTCACAACTAAATGTCGACAGGATTAACAAAACAAAAAAACTATTGCTTAGAAATAATGGCGGTTCTTTGTTCATTATGCATATATTTGAACGTAAAATAAGACCATTAAAGGCAAGACAGAGGCTCACTGACATACTTTAAAATATATTTCAGCATTTTGTTAATCGACGGCCTACTAACGTTACCCTGCCCTGAGTAACTTTATCCCAATCCGATCGCGGCTCTCCCGGTGTTAGATTGATGGATAAGCTGTTTGATTTATAATTATTAGATTATTTTCACATTTCACTTACCCTGCTGTGCATGAACATAGCTGTTCCTCAATTTGTGTGTTTCCCATGTGAATGGTCTGCTAAGGAGGCGGCTGCTGCTTGCGCTGGGACCTAACGGTATAGGCTTTAGCTTCAATTTTGATGAAATTATTCTCTAATCGGTAGCATATTATGTCGTGGATATATCCCTCGAATGCATACTGCAGTCCCTTTTGTCTTGATCTCTCAGATATTTCACCTGTTCGCCAAAAATTATTATATCTCCTTGGGAATGTCTTGACACCGGTGCATTCAGACTGTAATAGACGTGGCAGCCGAGAAAGCTTGACAGGCGTAGCAACAGTAACTAAGGAGGGCGGGGCTTAGCGAAGGGTCAATTGCAGTTTCCGCCAGTAAGTGGGCACTCGTGCAACGTAAGCAATGACGTACATCCGAGTGAACAAGACGGAGGGAAGTTAGCAAGTGAAGGGCATGACAATTTTGGACTGGCACGCAGCCAAAGTAGTCAGGAGAGAGAAGATTAACGTCGGTGGATTTGAATTTGAATAATGGATTGTAGGGTACTGACGTCTTTCCGCGGTTAAAACTTATTTGATGCTATAAATTAACCAAGGAAAAGATGATTGGTTCACGAAATAGTAGGCCTATTACTATTTATTTAATTTTCTTTGACTGACCAAATTTGAAAGTTGAGACTTTATTACCTGCTAGGTCCTGTCTGTCAGCGTCCTCTATGTATTTTTCACGACATTAATAGTTAAGCGCATACTTGCAGCAGTCTCGCACGCGCATAGAGCTCGTGTGAATTGCATGTATAAAATGAAGTTAAGGCACAACCTCGATCCATCAGGAAATGCCACATAGGCCGCTGCATTTCACTGCGCTTCATGACATTTTTTTTATTTCGCGCGAAGAAGCCGTTCGCCGGAGATCTGTTAAAAGATAGCAGAGTGCATTCATGATTATTAGGCTGCCGGTATAATACTCATCCTGGCGCCGGGTCTGAAGGAGTCATTTACTCTCTTATATTGTGACTCTTTAAGACCAGCCACTTCTGCAAATGACGCGGATCTCACACGCGTCCCATTTTCTCACAAATCTTTACATTTATTTAAGACTTTTTTTTACTCATTTAAGAATGCTCTTATGAGGACACTCGACAAAACGGACAGTTTGGCATAATTTGTGTGTGTTATGGTTCGTTCAAGCCCGAAAGAGAACTCGATAGTCGATACTGACGCGCATTTTTCTGTGTGTGTGTGTGTGTGTGTGTGTCACATAGGCACAGACAGCGCGGTCTCTTTTGTCTTGTCACGCTTGAATGATTTAAAAGCATTTGCATTAATAAGAACATGTTCATACAACGCTAGTCAACGAGTGACAGAAAAAAAACGGATACTGTGTTAATTGCGTTAAAAATGTAACGCTTTAAACTGATTTTTTTTTTTTTTGCGGTGCCGCGGTGGGCAAGTGATGAAACCGGTGTTGTGACTGAACACCGTATAACACCGGTAACACCGACTATCGTAGCAAGCCTAGCGTGGCGCATTGAAGACTTGGAAGTAAACGCCCACTGCATGGAACGGTACGGTTCGGTTCGGTTCGGTACGGCACGCTTTGGCGCTTTTCCACTGCATGGTACAGTACGGCTCGGTTCGGTACGGCTCACTTATGGCGCATTTCCACTGCATGGCACGGTACGGTACGGCTCGCTTTAAATGGTACCTGGTCTGTTGAGGTTCCAAGCGTACCGTACCGATACTAAAATGTGACGTGAAAACACTACAGATCACTGATTGGTCAGACAGTATCGTCACTATCAGCGCCATTGTATTTGCGACACGAGACACTAAACCTACTAGATTTAAATAGCCAGTAGACAACAGCCACCGCTGTAGCACCTGTTTTAAAACTACTTACTTGACTTGCTTGAAGAAAAAAGAAAGAAAGAAAGCTTCCATAAAAAAGAAATGGCTGAATCGTGGTCAGTGGACGAAGTGCAGACGTTCGTCTCGTTGGTTGCCGAGGAGCGGATAAACTACCGTCCGACTATAATCCCACCCACTTTGAAGCGGTACTAACTGCAGTGGAAAAGCAAACCGAGCTAAAGCGAGCTGCGCCGTGCCGCACCGTACCAAGCAGTGGAAAAGCGAAGCGAGCAGAACCGTTCCGCGCCGAGCCGAACCGTACTGAGCCGTACCAGCAGT